ACCCTTAACCGATAGCTCATCCCAGTTAATCAGTGGGGCGTTAAAATCTCCATGTACCGGGTGTAAGTTTGATCAGTCTTCCTATGTGGTTTTGAATACTTAGTTGTGCAATGACGAAGGACTTTTACCGACCATTGTCTGACAGTAATTCTTTGAGGGAGCTGCACCTCAGTATTCAGTCTTCGTAGCTGCGGAAGAGAGTGGAACAGGCTTTCCAGATCTGTGGGACAAATGTCTATTTCTTTGCAAAACCCATGCTTCTCATTTTTTCGACGCAACTAATAACCACTACTTTAATTTGCCCCACTTTTCTAGAACTGGCTCGCATGGAATGGTGCTAGCCTGTCTTCACGATGCGCTTGAAGGACTATGTGGTCTGTGGACTTATACTTCTTGCGTGTCAAAGCCTTGCTGGTGCCGAAAACATTCCTGGAATTTCTGCCTATGATGTACTGAATTATCCTTCTTTACCAGACTCAGAAAATCATGTTCGAAAAAAACGCAGCACATCTGAGCAGAGTCCTACGAAATTTGACGAGCCAACTCATCTCAACTTTTCTGCTTTTGGTCGTTCCTTTAGCCTTGTCCTCTATAGAGACACATCCCTCTATTCACCCAACTTGGACGTCACTGTCGGAGGAAAAAAGTCCACACCTGATCTATCTAGTGCAGTCACACAGCATGCCGTTCGGGGTTTCCTGAGAAACTATCCGAAAAGTCTCGTCTTCGGCACTTTGGTCAATGGTATTTTTCGTGGTACTATTGCGACCAGAGCCTCACTACTCGTGCAGCCAATGCAGCCTTCTGACTCTGCTGCTAAAGAAGAAGATGATCAAGTATTCTACGTGGAACCTTCCGGAAATTTCTTCGGTGAACCGTCTGCCTTTCATTCTATAATATATAAGGCGGCCGACGCAGAGGATGGCCCTGCTCTTTCACGTGGCCGCCGAAGCCCGAAAGGATCGAAGGAGCCCTGGTTTTGCGGTCTTTCAGATCCCAGCATTTCGAAGCGCCTCAAGGATTCATCACAGCCAGCCGAAGGTACTTTTCATTTTCCTCATCTTTTCTGTGTTGGGCTTTTCACTCTGGTCAAGAAGGATGAGTCTTTTGTGTGGA